GTTGCAAAACAAGCACTCTTTTCCTCGTGGTCGGTGCAATCTGCAAACACTAGTAACCTATTTATAGCCTACATTGGCAATCATAACCTAACTACCTATACGATGCTGGTACCAACCAGCATTGGCCAACAAGCCGAATGTAGTTGACATTCTCAACTGCTAGGAAAGACTGTTACAATCCGGAGTATGCCACACACCGTTGGTGGTTATCCAACAAACCACCAGACCTTCTTTTACAATCATATGCATTCCAAACATGCAGGAGTAGTTGTGTCCTCGTAAACACCCGAAATCGTTACCAACTGCTTTGTCTTGATTAGACCAATGCCCACTTGTGTGCTTAACAATGCTACCTTTGTTTATGCCAACATGCCAATTCATACTCATGCCCTCGATGTGTTGTCTTTCGTAGCCATAAATGGGGTTTCTACCAGCGACACGTTCCATTAATTTCTGAGTCCCACATTTTCTTGGGTCTCCAACTTGCTAAAGAATCATAATGGGTATTTACGAGACTGTCCTCCTACAAATCTCGCAGCATTTATACACGATTAGCTTAACGATTGGCCCATCAGCTAGGTCGACCAGCTAGGTCGACGTGTATTGTCCAATAACTTACCAACCATTAATCGGAGTGTCTCAAACCACTTTAACGCTAAGACCAGCAAGCATCCAAGTCTTTTAAGAGCTTTCATACACGTTGGGGTTACTTAGCCAAGCGCACTACCAAGCAAGTCACTCGCTGCCATGTCCGTGCCAAACATCAAGGAAGCTAACATTAGGCTTCTTGCCTGTTGACCTTGTGTTGCAATTAGAATGCATTCCCTCTTCATTTATCTCTTAACATCCCATAAATAATACCACAACAACACTAAGTTTCCAACAATTAAATAGTATTGGGCTACCCAAAGCAATTCATAGGCCTATATGCACTATACAATATACCTCCTTTTATAAACACACACAGGGAAATACACTGTAAACTGTACCTAAGATTGGTAATGTTTGATGCAATCCAAACATTAACGACATAACTCGATTACCACCAATAGACAAAAAAGAAAAAAGTTGTTGTCTAATGTGCTTATTGTCTTATCTTTTTTCCTTATCTTTGTTTTTAGGGTAAATTACACTTTACCCTATTAAACTATTATCTCTGTTTTACTTTGTACCCTCAACTATAAAATTTCTCACACTGCACCCTAAAGTATTATTTTTACTTCATATCACTCCAATAGATAACAACTTTCAATTTTTTTACGAATTAAAAGGGTAAACTTGAAAATTTGTCAAAGGAGAGATTTCAAAGTGCCTAGTACTATTTTATTTTACCTCTTTTGCAACCAAGTGGTTGCTGGGAAGAAAAAGAAGGTTCTTGAGCTAAGGAAGAAAATTTTGAGCTTAGGAATGACAAAGTCATGGATGAGTATTTTTCTTTATTTTTGACTTGTACATGTGCAATAAACAGTTGTTTATTAGTAGTACAGACCACTCACATATGCATTTACCATCAAAAATTGACAACCGTTTTCTATTGAAGTGATATGAAACAAAATTGATACTTTAGAATGTAATTTGAGAAATTTTATAGTTAAGGGTATAAAGTGAAACAAAAGTAATAATTTAAAGGGGTAAAGTGTAATTTACCCTTGTTTTTAATGGCTTTTTCTAACTTTTATTTTCTTTCAATTGCAAGTCAGAGTTTTTGGATACTTTACTCTTCTCTTGTCTGTCATATATTAATACTTAACTAATTATGTTGTGATAGTTTTGGCTTTTTCAAAGGTTTTAACTTCTAACAACATTGATATTTGTACTTAATTGAAAGATCTAATATACTATTGTCATTAGATTAATAGAGGGTATGAATACTGAATAGAGTTCACTATTACCAAACACATGATTAAAATGTGTAATATTCTTATATACTCTATTTAGTCATATATATTATCCATCTATATTCTTATAGATTAATACTTGGACAATTGTGCTTCACTTGAACAATTCGAATTCAATTCAAACTCTTCACCATTTTAGGTACACAACTCTAAATTAATCAACTTCTCCAAGCATCAAAGGCTGCCTTCATAAAAAGGTAAATTACATCTACCTCCCCTGAGATTTGATCAAATAACAACTAAACCTCTTATTGTATGAGAAATAACACTGACCTCCCCTGTCAATAACGTCCATTCTTTTTGTTTAACAGAAATACGAAAGAAACTATAATGCCCTTGATCCAAAATATTATCTACTTTTAACATTTAGCTAGTTTTGTTACATTCAATCATATCATGCCATGTAATGCCACAATAAAAGACAATATAAATGGAAAAATCTTACTGAATTATTCAAATTGATTTTCAGAAGGAAACATAATATAATTTATTCTATTAATGAAATAAATTTTATACCATATATCAGATCAAATGAAATCAATTTATAATTGAGTTAAAGTAATCTTCAAGTTCAAATCATCTAATTAACTTTGTTAGTTAATTTTATTTTATTTTATCCTTAAACCCATACAAAATCTAATTTATTCTATTAATTAAATTATATTTATCACAAATTCAGATTAAACCTAATCTACTCAATTAATTAAGCTAAATTTACCTCAAAATTCAAATTAATTCCATTAATATATTTAATTTTGTACCAAAAATTCAAACTTTAATTTAGAGACAAATACTATCAGGTGTTTGTTTGGAAACTAGTAATATTAATAATATGAATATAGTATGTTTGACAGCAGGTTTAGCTTGTCTACAATCTAAATAAGGGTAATGCTGATATTTACAAATATTGGGTTGCTTATATCATCAAATTATAGACGCCCCTCTAACGACACATTAATGATTGGCGGAATTTATTACAAACAACCATAACATAAGAGAAGTTGGTATTATTTTTCATACAAGAGGAAGAGGGAGTCTAGTTGTTATTTAACTAAACATCAAAGAGAGATGGATGTAATTTAACCTAGAACTAAATCTTAAACCTGATTGAAAAACAGTCTAATCAATCAAGTAGTCAACAAGGCAAAGGCAAAAGCCACACTGGTACATATAATTCCATCAAGGATTACAGACCTCATCTACAACATAGAGATCCCCCAAAAGAAATGAAAGCATGCCTATAATGAGTAGGGATTATCCACTTTGGCTAGTACTTGATGAATGGGACTTTTAATAAAAGAAATCTTATATAATATTCACAACTGGATATAGCAGAAGTGACAAAGAACACATACACTGAACCTACCACTTTCCAAGTGGCCTAGACAATAAGATCTTCATCTTTTTGTTATCCAATTGGTTATTTATTACTTTTTGTTATCCTATCAAGAACTTCACCATATCTTAGATCTCTACTCATAGCTTAGGACATGTTAGGGTGATACACAAAAGTGCAGTCATTGTACCTTATTATGAGGCATTTTGAGGTATCAAACAACTCACAACAGAAAATGAAGAGTCCAATCCCTCCAAAAATCTCTCCCTTACCCCCCGGGGGCGGGGCCCACGCGAAAGACACAAAGACGGACAAGGCCTTGGTAAAGTGTTAGGTGGAACACAACAAATAAATTATAAATCTTAAGAGCGGCTTTAAGGTCGGAAAAAAATAAGAACAAGAATCATCAGTCTTAAAAAAAAATGTCCATTAGTGTTAAGAAACAAAGATCAATCCACAGGTTGACATTCGATCCAAACCTAGCTGCAGGGGAGTAGCCAAAAGGATATATTACAAGAATGATAAATCCCACGACGAATGAGGAATTTCATTTTAGTGATGATGGAACAGGAACAAGACAAGTAATCTTGATGGAGATTAGGATGTGTGATGAAATTGTGCAAATACACCGTAATACACAAAATCAAAATACGAAATTTCATATAGGATACGGTAGTTAAGAGTAATAGTTAAAGATTAGTGGACAACATAATCACATCTAGACTTTCAGTCTATATTCCATTAGCTCCACAAAAGTTATTTAAAAAACATTGCAGTTTCTTGCAGCCAAATCTACAGCAAAGTTGTATGTGTTTTGGGTGCTTTTTAGCTGTCTACTCATAATTAGAAGTTTATCATGATAAGGCCCCAAACTACACCAATAATTATCTTCCTTTCATTTTCTTATACTTAGTTTTTTTTTTTTTTCAATTTTGCAAAAAAGTGTTTGGCCAACTTGACATAAAAGCTAAAAGCTAATTTGCATATATTGACATAAAGTTACATTCTTCACTTTCCTTAGCTTTTAATTAGTAGAAAATCCCGGTCCACTACTACAGTGGTGGAATCATATTGATATTTATGCCAAAAGCAAGCATAGAGAACTGTCTCATTTTCACTTTAGGGCATGAAATTGTTCCACTAGTCTTCCATTGTTTAGAAGAGTGGTACACAACTAAGATTTTGTAATTCTCCATAAATAACACAATCTTAAGCTCTCTACTCTGAGTTACAAACCATCCATCTCCTATAAGAAGTTGTAAATTATTAAGTGTTTTATACAAGAGGATCAAATTATACCTGATCATTTATCAGATCCCTTGATGACCAACGGCGGCCCATGTTTTCACAAATTCTACACATTTCCTATATTTGAATTACTCCACACTCCAAAGATTTTGCAGTAATTTTTCATTCTTACAGGTTGCAGAGCACATATGAAGTTAAGCTACAAAGATACAGAGGGACACTACGTATTGTGAGCTAACTTCACTTCTCAGCCACAGAAGTCCAGTGAGTAGGAAGGACATTCGGTACTATCATCTTGATGAAAGATGGCATGCACACTGAGATGCATAGTTTTCCATCTGAGGATGGGAAATATGACTAGATTCTACTAGCAAAAATCATTCATGGCAAAAACCTCGGTTTCTAGTTTGTAGAAATCTCTCTGTCATGTGTGATTCTCCATCCAAAAAATTATGAGTCTCATCACTCATCAGGACTAGACAACTAATGATCACAAAAAAATTAATTCAAATTATATTCTCGCTATCTATAAATAAGGAGCCATGAGCCCATAATCGACTATAAAAATTCAGTACAACTGTGATACCAAGTCAACAGTGAGACCTGCTATCACCATCCAATAGCAAGGTTCCAAATGTGCAGGAAAGTATTGGGTTGTGTTGGATATGCATAAGACATGGATAACATGTAAATATTCATGTCTCAAGACTACAACCAGGCTTCTAATTTACCTTTTTCTGGACCCCCTCGACGGCAGTGTAATCCAACCCCTGAGAAGCCAGGAATAAGAATTTACTAGGACATTACAAAATCTCCTCCAGTTTCTGCTACAATCAAGAGGAAACAGCCTGAATTCAGACTGAATCGACCCCTTCAACCTGCTGGCGAGCAAGGTACCTTTCCCTCCTTTCTTTCTACAAAACCAAACATAAAGAAGCAAATCACGCTAAAATTAATATCAGGAGAAGTTTAGAAAAGTCCAGCCAGATATGGAGAATATCCAAACAAATTTTGAAACACCTCACCCATTCATCTATAATAAGTCCTTCTCCAACAATTCGTGGACCTGTGTCTTCTGGGGGCTTTTTGCATGCCTCAAGCTCAGCCTCAGCCTCGGCCAATTGACGATTAAGTTTCTCCAGTGCCTTTACAGAAACACATTACCAAATGATGGAAATTAATAAAAGAGAAGAGCACACAAACGTGAACGTTAAGTACAGATGCATACCAGATTAGCGCTAACTCAAACCCACTTACAGGACAAGGACGTTCTGTGTCAAGGAAAACAACTCGCAAAATCTGCTCCTCTGTTACTTGATCTCTTTGCTCATCAAACTGCATATAGATGTCAAATGACATGTTCTGTTAATCAATGATGGATAGAAAGCAATCGTGTCATTCATTACTCAAAAAGTAGAATGCATCAACCAAGTGGAGTACCATTCTGAAAATTTCTAAATTGGATATAATGAAGTGGAAAAAGGATTTCACAATTTGATCTGGAATAAAGTTGCAGTAAAACAAGGGTACTCAGAAACACAAGCATGCAGCATAAAATAGCTCAATTAAAGTCCGCATCAAATAGAAAAGAACCTCAACTCAAGTAACCTTTTTTGAAGTAAAATGGGAACCTCACTTTCAGTAACCTAAGTCTGCATATCTGAACACCCGGCAAACATAATGCTATCCAATGACATTTAAAATAATTTGTGCCACTATCCTGGCAGATCAAACATGACAGATATAACAAATAAAAAGACAGTTTGTTTATCAGCAAAATCACAAGATTCACACAAAATGATTGAACCAATGAAAATCCATGTAATATCAATTAAAGGGGCCAACAAAATTTACCAGCTCTGGTACATAATCCATTTCTCCTTTCACTCTCAAGCTCATGATCTTGAACTTGACCCTAGTCTTCAGACCTTGTATTTTCTCATCGTTCTCTGGATGCTCCACAAACTTGAATACTATTGATGAAGTTACAAATCAAGATGGCAAATCATTAATTCATGAGTAGGTACTCCAATGTATATATGTTATATGCAACATCAAAAAGAAAATAGAGATCAAGAAGGATAATGTTACCAGTTGCAATTAGACTTTCACCAGGAGCAAGTATTTCACCAGGAGGGCGCATGTAACAACTCTTCGGTGCAGTTGTTTGAAACTGAGGAAACACAAAGGCACCACCAGTTAGATGTGGCCTGATTGGTAAATAGCAGTAATGACAAAAATAGGAAAACAAGAAATTAACAACAAAGTCAATTAACATTAAGGGAAACAAATTGTAGCATAACTGCACAACAAGTACGATGATGAAAATATAGGAGATACACTAAAATCAGTCTATAGATGTAGCTTTTAATTGAAAAATGGGTGAACACTATTCCAGTTCTTCAATTAAACTCTCAATTTCAGCTCATTTTAACTGAATTTCCCATACAGGATTCTATTTATATTTTCTGAAGAAATTCTTGTAAACTTTGGCTAATCTATGCCCAAAATAGTTTTCCACCTCTAATGTCAAATAAGTCAGTTGGGTATGGCAGGCCTGCCTTGAATAGGAGTTCAACTAACCGCACAGTCTTCCAATTTTCAAAACCCATCAGAATTAATGAACATACTAAACTATTTGACACATATATCACTTGATAAGAAAAAGAAACTAATAGCGAAAGTATATTTCATACCTTGAAAGCTACATGAGACTTGCTGATGTTTTTGATCCTGATTGCACTCTTGACTTGTTTACCAGGCTCATCTTCATCAAACGACAGTTCAAATACATCGGAGAGAGATCAATATTTTTCAAGAAATCAGAAAACAGAACAGACATGACACCAAAGTTACCGTTAATTACAAATTACATTACTTAAATGTCACTTTTCAATACCGTACTTCTATTTTTCATCTAATAAAAACAAGCGACATATAAAATTTTCTTATTTTCTTATTTTTAATTACTTTATAATTTTTCCAACCAGATTAATAGCCTTATCCAAATTTCTATGTCCTAGACTTTATAAATCATTCCCCAAACTTATTGAGAAATGATCAACTTCAAGGGCCACAAGAACTAAGAACATCAACAATAGAAACGTGTCAACTCCAAAAACAACTAATTAACATTCAAATCAACAAATCGTGCAGTGGGAACAAAACATACATGCATTATAGGCTGATTAAAGAAGACCCATATCATCAAATCATCACAAAAAAAATGCAGAAAAAGCACAATCATATGCCTTTGATCTGCCAAAACCATATAAGTGAAACACCGAAAGCGCAATGTACGTATAGAAGCATTTACATACACAACAGTAGAGGGGGAGAGAAGTACAGGGAAAGTAGAGTTTGTTGGGGGGATCAAGACTGAGTCGGCGCCGAGTTGGAAGAAAAGACTTTGCCACGGACGAGACCAAAGTCAGAGAATGGACATCAGGTTGATCGACAAGCTGGTTTTGGTGGTGAACACTCAGCGAAGAAGAAGATGAAGAAGAACCATCAGCATTGCTGGAGTGCCAAAATGGCATTCTGCAGAGACTCCAAACCTTCCCTTCAGACAGTGATCTCTCACTTGTAACAGCCATTCTATTTCCCGCCGGAATCCGACCCACTTCGCCGGCGAGAGTCTACAGGCACCGCCGTGCAGTTATTAGGTGGTTTCTATTATGGAAATCATCCCCAATGATGAATCGTTGTCATGCGTGTGTTTGTGTGTTTATTGAGACCATCGCTGTTGGGGAAAAATAGAAGCACGGATAGTTGGAAGGGATTAATAAAATATGATGTGCGGTAAAAAAGGAAAATAAGAGGGGTAAAAAAGTGAATGAATTAATTTTTTTTTTGACTCATTAAAATTAATTTTTATAAAAATAAAAAAAAAGTGGATGAAAAATTAATTATTTGTATTAAGATATATCTTATTTGTCTATATAATTTTTAATATATATATATTATATATATACATTAATTTCATATAAAAATACAATGTATATTAATTTTATATAAAAATATAATGATAAAATATGTATTTATATATATATTAAAAAAATTTAAAATTTAAAAATTAAAAATTTTAAAAACTATATTTTTTCATCTTAACTAAGGGTCAAAATTTTTGACTCAACACGACTTGAACTCGATATAAATTTTATGAAACGAACTTGATTTTAACTCGACACGAACTTAAAAATAACATGAGAAGCAAACAAGAAATATAAAAGACTCATATTCGGTTCAATCAGTGAAACTCAAAATAAATAGGTCAACTCGCAACTCGACACGACACAATTAATTAAATGAGTTGAGTTAAGTGTGATTAATGTTCGACACAAATCCGTAATGACTCAACACGACACGACTCGATTGTTACCTTTAATTTTAGCCAGCAAAAAAAAAATTATTCATTTTTATTTTTCATTTATCCAATCAAACACAAAAAAAAACAGAGAGTATCATTCTTATTTTTCTTCTCTGAATGATAGAAAGTGTATCTTTATTACTTTTCATCCTTCTTACTTTCTATTATTCCTACGAAACAGAGCATTAGTATTTGACTTTTTGATTGATCTGAATATTGGGTATGAGATAGCTCACATGCTTAAATTGGCGAGATTAGCTCAATTTGGAGAAAATATGAAGTCCAAACCTATCGCCTAGATGTCGGAGGTTCGAATCTTAGGATTCGATAGTTGAACTTTATGCTAGTTTACTTAGGTTCATTTATGAGAGAAATAATTAATTCATGCGATCAAAAATCTCATGGTCCCACTAGTGAAATTTTATTTGGATAGTCTTTGGATGCTCTGTTTAGCTTCCACCGTTTTTTTTCAAGAGCAAAAAAAAAAAAAAAAACAATGATATAATGTCAATATTGTCACATGACATCATCGATCAATAATATAAAAATAAAAATAAATTCCACACAAATTAATAATTCTTATGTAAGTTAATAACTATCAAAATAAAATTTAGTTTATCCACTTGATATTTTATTATTAATGTTGCATTAAATATTTACTTATAATTTTATGTTCGATTGCCTTTACTTCCCTCGGCCAGTCCTACCACGTGTCATTGATAAACCTATCTATCGTGTCAATTGATGTAAGTTTGTGTCAAGTTTTAATAAGATCGTATCAAAAAAATATTTTGTTTATATTTATTTTGGTTATTAATTTGTATTTAATAAATTATGACATATCAAATTCGTATCGTGTATAATCGTATATAGTCAACATAAAAACATTGCGTGACTTAAGTAAGATTCAAGTCTTTTAATTTTATGTCGTATTCGCATCATATTAACGGATCATTTCATATTTTGACACCCCTACCGTAAATATTTAATCCCAAGTTTGGTTGGTGGTGGCATGGTGATTCTGCTAAGTATGTTTTGTTAAAGGGTTAGATTTGATTTGAATTTAAATTTAATTAATTATATATAAATAATTTTTTTTATTAATAATCTAAATTCAAAATCTCAATTTATTGTATCAAAAAAGAGTTCTGTCTAAATAGATCAATCTACCATGCTCATTAAAGGGATTAACAAGAAGTCGCTAATGTAGATACGACCATAACTACATGTGATTATAAATATATTGTTTATATATTAAATAAATTTTAACACAATATGACTTATACATGATATATATATGACAGGACATTGGCGACAATTCAGTTGTTTGCGGACACGGCTCGACTCATGGCGATCTAGGCCTTTCGGATATGAGGAGCACAATGTACTCCAAGTAGTAAATGGCTTGCATCTGGACCTCGAGCAGCGTGTTCACACAGGGTGATTATCCAGAAGTCGGGGGACTGTAAGGTTCTCGGGGCTGTGTCTAAAAACGTACTCGACCCTAACACCCGAGCACTTGTTACTAGATGTTCAAAATGGTCGGATAGATTGAGTGTTCATCCGACCTCTTTTCTAACTTTGCCCATAGTTTACAGGATTATTCGAAGGATCACCGGTGTAAATCACTATCTTAACTGATTACAAGAATTCTCGAGGGCAATACATATACAATAAAATACAACAAAGATTCAAAGTTCCTCATTGAACCCTTAATCATAGAAGAAGATACCAATGTGGTCCAAAACAGGACTTCTATCACTTTCTTTTTGATAAATTTTTTGTTGTATTCTTTTATTTTGGTTACAATTATTTCTACATTACTCAATTACAAGTATTTTACACGAGAATTTTTTAATCAAATTTATTAAAATGGATTGCTACTTTGCATATGATTGAGGCTATAACATGAGAATTTTAATTTTTTTTAAAATATAAGTTGAAAGTTGAAAGTATATAATCTTCCTCCTTGTATCTGCAAAGATCATGATTAGGTGAACTATTAGGACTATTTTTTTTGTAGGAAAAAATTATTTTCATGACTATAATGTTTTGGTATTTCAGCACTTTATACTTTGAAAAATTTTAAGTTTTTCACTTTGCACATTTAAAGATTATATGTTTCTCACATTATACTTTTAATATATCAAAAATGTTGTAAGGTAGTCTTTTTGTTGGTTTTTGTTATTTTTTTCGTTCAAAAATTATCCCATTGACACTAACGAAAAAACTAATAAAAAGTTAACAGAATGGTCACATTTTAATACTTTTGATATATTGAAAGTGTAATGTAATAAATTTAATCTTTAAAAGTACAAAATAAGAAACTTGAAACCTTACTAAGTATAAAGTGAAAGTTGTTCTAATATTTCAAAATGGTGTAATGATAAAAAAAAAAAAAAGTTTTAACTTTTAAAAATATTTCAAATCCAGATACATGTGACAGGACATGATTCGAGAATAACACGTAATTTTTGGCTAAGATTTAGCATGCTTTCAAACGCCCTGAGTTAGCAATATGCCATGATGATAGAACATGTTCTTTTTCTTCCCTTCTCTCTCTCTCCCCCCTGACTGTTCTTCCTTTTGCTTGCCATAGAATTGGGCAACAAGTAGGTTTGTAGGGTATAATTTGATAGATGACAGCTCTTTTTTAAAGTCACTTTCTTAGATCTTTTGATTTTGATGGTGCACATTAGCTCATTTACAGCTTCAGCCATAGAACCAGAAGAGTGGTGGTAAACATTTTTCAAAACTTTTGTTCAATCTCAAGATCCAAACAAATTTATACCAACATATTGAACGATTGACTGAGCAAAGTTTGTGCACCTTCCCCTCGTAAAACGAACACACTGTCACAGACGGAAATTTATAATCTCATCCAATTTTAAAAAGAGTGTATATTCGCTTTTTAAGATTTATAATCTTGGTTAAAATAGAGTAACACTGATGAACCCGAAATAATTGGGCCAGACCCAATAAATTAATGAGGCCCAAGACATAGCACCAAGAGGAGCCCAAGTCACCAAAGCCCAAAAGAGACACCCAAGGGGCGCCACCCAAGGGGTCACCCAAGCCCCTGGCGCAACCTATGGGTTAGCCCTCCAGTCTCTCCTTCGTCCTCCACACTTTGCCACTCCGACCCAGTCTGACCCAGCTCAGGATCTAGGAAGCCCGAAGGAATAAGAGCACGTGGGAGAGAATAGGGGTGTTCACCCTACCCTACGGGTAGGAAATATACTCTTCCGTCTTCCTACCCGATACTTTGCGAAAGAGTTTTTTCTTGGCCTACCCTACCCGACAGGTGTGGTATTCCTACCCGACTTCCTACCCGATTAATCGGGTAGAAAATCAGGTAAATATTTTTGTAAAAATTAATTTTTGGATCATTTTAACAATTTAATTAAATAATATACACTAATTTAACAACATTATAAATCAATTAACACTAAAATCTAAAACAACTACAACAAGAATTATAATAAAATACAAGAAAATATGAACATCAATCCACCATAATTGTTACACAAATACAATAACAATTAATTTAAGTTTAAACTTTTAACCATATGAAATACATTAAAAGCATAATTGTTCTGCCTGTGGTTAGAGTTTAGGGTTTTTTTAGTTTATATATATATATATATATATATAAAAAATTATTGCGGGTAGAGTAGGGTAGGGGTGGGAATGCGGAAATGGATAAATATTTCGCATTCCTACCCAAAAATTGTCGGAAGACCAAAAACTCTTCCGCATTCCTATCCGATTTTTGCGGCTAGCTGTTCAGTAGGGTAGGATAGGATCGGATAGGGTAGGAACTTGAGGCCGGTCGAAAATTTGAACACCCCTAGGAGAGAATATCGGGATACGCCTCATGGAGATCAAATCTTACTATAATTGTACTTATCAAAATAGTAGAAGCCCTCTCCCTCACTTCATCGTCTCACCAAACTAATATAATGTAAGTCTTCTCCACATGAAAGGGCATGACCTTGAGGCCTCTACACTTTGAGTTCCCTACACACATTGATTTTCTCTCCTTACCATTGTAATTCTCCCGGAAATGTACTCTCCTTATGACTTTTATTCATTAATAAAGATCTCCGGCCACCGTTGTCGTTTTTTAGAGTGGAGTAGGTCACTCGGACCAAACCACTATAAATCAATGTGTTTTGCTCTTTTTTACCATTTTGTTATTGATTATCTTATTTATTGCTTATTAAT